CAGGTTGAGCTGTTGTTCAGCATCTTAGCTATGGAGGGCAGCGTCACTGGCCCTCATATGTGGGATCCGAACCGGGGTCCTCTGGCGTCCCAAGCCAGTTCTTAACCACTCAGCCGGCCAAAAAACTTAAGTTCTTTAAGTTGCCACTTATAACTCGCATCTTTCTGAAAATTAAAGTTGTCATAATAATAACAATAATAGGAAGTCCAAGGTAGAGAGTCTACCTTTTTCGGGGAGTTGATGGAAATGTGTGACTGATGTATCTATGAATTCCTACCCACGTCGGAAAAGGGCCCACAGGGGCCTTTCATCCTCACTTCCAGCTCCCACCTATGTACGAGGCTCCCATGTCACAAGCCCTCCTGCCAAGGCAGCAGAGTCACGGAGGACGCAGTATTTGGGAGAACTCAAACACCAGGCTCCACCAACTGTACCTTCTCTCCCGGGAAAGTCCATTACCCGACACAAAAGCTGCCTTCGTAACACACTGCTGCTCCCTTCACAAGGACCCGCCCCTCCGCAACATCCAAGTTCAGTTTGCTTGTGTTCTTAGTGGGATTCCCAATTCCTGTGCCTTTATAACTCTGAGCTAAAAATACAGTGTCATGCGGCCTGGCACATGGCCCAGAGTCTGGAGCCCCAAAGAAGACTGAAGGATAAACAAGGAGTATGCTTAGAGGGGAGCAGACAAGAGCCTTGAAAAGCTGGTGGCCATGTGGTGACAAGGGGGAGGCAGAGGAGGGTGCCAGCAGGCAGAGAGAGCAGTTATTAGAGGAGGGATAAAGAAGTGAAGATCTTCTAAATAACAGTTCTTTGCGGAATATAACACGCACACTCTAACCTTCTCCATTCTCAGTCCAATAATCCAGATGAAAATGCAATTTTCAAAGGAAAACAAATTGTTTTATATGGGGTTTCCTATGTAAATCCTTAGGGAGTTCTTTGATATGCATTATGGTACATTTTAATCTAAATTCTGCATTTTAATTGATCTATTGAAAGATAATGTTAGAAATAAAATATACTTTTAGAATTTCTTAGTCCCCAGGATGATAATTAACTATTAAAACATGTTTAGAGCCTGAAATCGCAAATCAAAATAACAAAAAGATTATCTTAGCCAAGCACATCACTGAGGTTTCTCAACTAAGCAGTAAATTCAATGAAAACTGGTTTTTTTTCCTTTTATCCAAAATGAAAACAGCTTTGTTACTTTGTCTAATATGCCAAAAATTCCTTCAATACAGAAAGTATATAAAATGTAAAAATCATCCAGGACTTCCCCCCACCATGGAAATTACCACTGTTAACATTTTGATATGTAGCCTTCTAAACTTTTTCATAAGTGTATATGCACATATGAACATTTCAAAAATAAGATGATGTTATTCATCCAGTTCACAATTTAGTAATATTGGGTTGTCAGAAAAGTCATGATGCATTTTTGCAATGAAAAACATAGAAAAAAATACATCATGACTTTTCTAACAACCCAATATAATGTTAATTCTTACCTATGTCAATAAATATTCTTTTCCAACATAATTTTTATTGGCTGTATAATATTCCATTTTTTGTGTATACCATGATTTATTCAACCAACCTCCCATTGATAGACATTTGGGATTGTTTCTAATATTTTACTATTATAAACAATTATAAACAAATATAACTACAAAAAAATTTAATGTGTGAGTGTTTTATACTTCTCTCTACAAGTAAATTTGAAAATCTGATGAAATAGATAATTTTCTAGGGATACGTAAATTATCAAAATGGATACCAAAAAGGATATAAAACTTTAACAGACCATTACGTATAGAATTTTTTAAAAAATGTTTTGGCTGCCTCTCCTAAAGTGCCACATCCAGATGGTTTTCCAGGTGAAATCTCCCAAATATTTTAAAATTCTATTTATAGTATGCCAGAGAAAAGAGAAAGAAACTCTCTTTTAAAACATTCTTTTTAAAATTCAGAATAACATTGATACCAAACTCAAAAAGGTAGCATAGAAAAAAAAAAGACCAATCTCATTTTTGAACATCAATGCAAGAATCCTAAGTAAAATTTAGCACATATAATCTAGATTAAAAAATAAAACAACAAAAATCCAGAAGGTTCCATTCCAGCAATTAGTATTAATCATTATCAAGAAATCTAAAAATATAACCTACCATATGACTGGTAAATGGAGAAAAAAAATATATGATCACTTTAATACACGCCTAAAAGACATGTAAAAAATCACTCATTTCTAATTTTTAAAAATCCTAGTAAAATGGGAACAAATGGATGCTTCCTTAAGATTATGTATATAGAGCCATAATCTAGTAAAATGGTAATAAATGAAGAAAGAAAAAGCTAAAAGTAGAAAACAAACTAAAAGTCAACATCATCATAAAAACATAGTAGTATACCAGCATGATTAAGAACACAACCTCTGGGACCAACCAAGTAGCTCAGTTGGTTACGAGCTCGCTCAAGAGTGCAAGCTCTGAGCAACAGCGGTTCGATGCCCAGCCCAAGCTGAGCTGCCAACAAGTGGCAGGGTGGCTCAGCTAAAAACAAAAACAAAAAAAACAACCTCTGAAACTAGAATTCCTGGATTCAAATTTCACTTCCACCACTATTTGTATGACCTTGAACAACTTAACTTCTTCATGCCTCAGTTTTCTCATCTGTAAATTGTGATAATAGTACATACTCATGGGGATACTGTAAGGATTGAATGAGCCAATATATATACTAGGGGTGTCAAAAAAAGTATGCACATTTTAAGAGATGTTATCTATGCTCAAGTAGTAGTTCACCATAATCAGAAGTGTCCGAACACTGATGGTAACCACTTTGAGTACCTCTTGTAATTGCAGAAGTCATACATGACTTGTATTCATCTTTTGTTATCGGTATATGTTGAGTATTACAATTAATACAGTTTTTTCCTTTCTTAAAATGTGTATACATTTTTTGGGCTCGCTCTCTCTCTCTTTTCCTCTCTCTCTCTCTCTCTCTCTCTCTCTCTCTCTCTCTCTCTCTCTCTCTCCATATATATATTGCTTAGAACAGCACTTGGAACATAGTGCTATATGAATGTACATAAGAATATAAGTAGATACACACAACATCAAAAAGCCAAGATCATGCATGAATAATAAAACACTAAAACCACTGCCATGAAAGTTAGGAATAAGAAAAGAATATTCAAAGCCAACATTACTACTTAAATTTTTGTTCTGAAAACACTAGTCAAGTGATCAAACAAGAGACAAACATAAATTTTAGAAATATAGAAAAATAAAAGATGGAATTATCATTATTTGCTGATGATATTATTCCTGAAAATACCAAGAGAGTCAACTGAAAACCTCTTAAAAATAATAGGAATTTACTAGATTTATTTAATTCATTCACTACCCCAAAGAGAAATATTTAAGAGAAAAATATGAAATATGAAAACAATCTCAGCATATTATAAGCTGTGAATCTGAACCTTTGGAAAACTCACCTTGGCAGTTTAATTGTGGGGACTCCCATGTGCCCAAGGCTGTGCAGCTTGAAATTGTATCTTCGGGGCTACTGAAAAATCCTTCTTTGCAAGCATAACGAACCTGGCTGCCAAGCCTAGAGGTATAATTGCCTATGATATAGCCACCTGGGACCTCAGGAGGGTTGCCACAGTCTATTTCTGAAAACAAATTAATGTCAAATGCATTACTATGTGAATGTGAATTTTTAAAATTCATAATTTCTACCCCTATCCTATTTCGCTTCCTCCCACCCTACCCCACCACATGCACCCCAGCCATATTTTAAATTGGCTGGTTCATTTCCACACGACTTCTGGGCACATTTCCAATGCTTATCTCTATTCAATCTTCTGACCTTCCATAGGTAATAGCACAAAGCTGAAAGAATTTGGCAATCAACCCTCACTAACTCATACTACCAAAAGAGAAGCCTAGCCCAATGAAGTGAAAAATTTTAATTGCAAAATAACTTAAAATATATACATGCTTTCATAATTTTCAGGGTTACTTTTGAGATGCTGGTCCTTACCAGATCAGCTATGTTTACTAGCTACCATAATAGTAATATCAGGATATTTATTAACTGCTAAAAATCCCTGAAGTTTACTAATTTTAGCTTTCTAATGTAGGCCCTTCTATCTTGGTTATATTGTTTGCTTTATTTCATAGGTTGCACAAATGTGCCAAGGAACAGATAGATAATCTCCACCCACATCCCCAACACAGACCCACAGACATAGGCTCAGAGCAGGGGAAAGTCACCACCAACAGAAACTCACCTTCCCATGCTGCATTCTTTGGCAGAAACCCACCTGTGCATGATGTGGCATCTCTGGTTGGGTGGAAAGGCTCAGGTCCACTCTTGGACAAGTATCCATCCATACAGTAGCATTCAAAGCTTCCATGAGTGTTCACACACCGCCCTCCTTGCCTACACAGGCCGGAAACCTCACACTCATCTATGTCTTGAGACCCATTGCAAACGTAAGAGGAAGAGAAAAACAGATAAAAGAAAAATGGGTGGGGGCGACATTGTGACAGCTATTTCCCACATTCTCAAGCTACACTTACAAATGGATGCATTTATTTGCAACTGTATCATGAATTTTATTTTACTCCTTAAGGGTTCTTCTCATATATCTTTCACATCATAAGCACTAAGAGGTGCTCAATAAATATGTTCTGGAGATTCATAAAAACCAACAACCATCACCAACTCTCTGACACGAAACAAAATGTAACTCAAAAAAGCATGTTAAAAAAATTCAATTACTATAAAATAAGGATGGCCTCAACCTCATACTACAATATCTGAAGAAGTCCAAATACAAAACCATTTAGAAAAAAGTGAAAAATGCTTTCAAAAATGAGCATAGAGAGGGGTGTAAATGTCTTAACTATTACATTGCTTTGTACGCCTGAAGCTAATAAAAAAAAAATGAACAGAATAGTAAGCCAGGTGGTAAGGGGATAATTCAGACGGTCTCGCTAATTTTACCAAGATTACAAGGGCTTATAAAACAGGCTTCAAGAAGGACAAGACACGCTTCTTGATGGACTTCTTCTTGACTGAGGATTATGAGAAGTAGCAGGTATGGGGTAAACAAAACACACAATAATTTAAAGGCTGGAGAAGAAAGCTCTGCCAGTTAGCCATGCCCTCCTCTCCTCCCCACCCCACCCCCCACCACCACCATCACCACCACCAAACTGGCTTAAAGAACAAAACTAAAAACTTAAGGAATTCCATCAGAGCCACACACACCAACTTCACTTGGAAAAAAAAGTACATTAAGTGAAATGGGACTTTTACCAGGACTTGTGCAAGAACCATCCGGGGTGCAGCAGACAGGAAGCAGATTCACTGAAGAAAGTCTGGTTGTTTCCAGACTCTGGGATTTCAAAGACCAGTAATTTTGGAAGAACTGATAGAAGGTGGCCAATATTCTATTTTGCCAGATAAATACATTTTTTCCCCCAAAAAAACTACGAATACCGTAATTTCAGAAAAGAAGGACAAAAATAATCTCAAAATCCTTTTAAGTTTGTTTAATATAATTTTATAGAAATTCACTATATTCTCCTTTTTGCTTGTTTGTTTGTTTTTTTGATCTTGGGTATCATGTTTTGGGAATCAGTAATTCATTCAATTGCTGAAGGAGCCCACACAAGCTACCAATTCTGATCAACCTACACCTTTAGTGCAGCAAACTTGGGGGAACTCTTATGGGAGACTGTCATCAAAGAGGGCTAGCAACAATCCTTCCTCTCCCTTTCTTGCAGGCCACTCCTCTCAACAACAGTGGAATCAACTTCCCCTCCTTGTGGGCTGGCCTTGGGACTTGCTTTGGCCAATAGAATGGGGCAGAGATGACGTGGTGCCTTCTCTGGGCCTAACCTTGAAGACACCTGAGACCTTCCTCCTTTCCTCTCTTGGAATCCAGTGACCATGCTGTAAGGATATCCAGGCTATTGTACTTGGGAGAGAGGCCCTAAAAGATGAGACACCGTGTGAGAGAGAGGCCACATGGAGAACTCAGGTGCCCTAGCTGATGGTCGGCATCAGGTCCTAGACGTGTGAGAGAGAGAGAGGCTTTCTTTTATCTACCAGCCCAGCACAGCCACCAGCTAAATGTGTCCACACCGTGGCACAACCACCCAGCCATGAAATTGTGAGAATAAATAGTTTTTAAGCCACTAAATTGGAGGGGCGGGAGGGAGTAAAGTTATGTAGTGATAGATAATCAAGACACTCTTGACATATAAAAAGATGCAGAAGTCCAAGAAAGATTAAGAAGATATTGTATAGGGCCGGCCGAGTGGCGCGATGGTTAAGAACT